TGCAATAAATTTTGGTTTCTTCTGCTTAATAAAATAAAACTTAAATATTAGGTAAAGTAAAAAGTTCGCTCGGTTTTTTATTGATTTTTTAAAATATGATTACTTTGTGTACATTTGTCCGATTTAAGTCAGATATGCGCCGATTTGTATGTAAGCTTTTGCCAACAAGATGCCATTATACCCCTATCGTAGGCCTCACAGGCCACTCTCTCACCATTAAGCGCGTTCGCCATGGACAGGATAAAATGGTAACTACTTGGAGTCAGGTCCGGACTATCATGTGGATGCATTAGGACCTCACCAAAGACTTCACGCGTCACCAAAAACCTGTGTGGACTGGCGTTGTCCTGATGGAACACAATTCGGATTCTGTTGATAAAAGATGGCCTCTTCTGGATGAGTGCTGCCTTCAAGCGGTTCATTTGTTGGCAATAGAGGGCCGAATTGAGCGTTTGGCCATAGGTTAGCAGCTCGAAGTAGATGATTTCTTGCCAATCCCACCAAACACACAGCAAACCCTTCTTGGCCGTCAATCCGGTCTTGGCCACAGTCTGAGCCGCTTCCACGAGCTTTTACTACGCCCGTTTGCGCTCGTAGTTGTCGTAAGTGATCCAGTTTTCATCGCCAGTCACAATCCGCTTCAGAAGCGTATCGATTTTGTTGCGATTCAGCAGCGATTCGCAGATTGTAATTCGGTCTATCATCCCAAACATCGAGCTTCTTTTTGAATCCAAGGTGATGCAAATGGTTCCAAACGGTTTTCTGGCTTATCTTTGGTTCCTAAGCAATTAAATAGCTGCTCAGGTGACGGTCTGTTTTCACTATTTCCATGATTTTATCGCAGTGTGCGACGGCCGGCCTCCCGACGCGTCTTTGACATCGAAATTCCCGGAACGGAAATTAGCAAACCACTTTTGTGCTACACGTTCGTTTACAGTATCGGGCCCATAAATCTAAAATAATTTCTCAGCCGCTTTGGCTACTTGTTCGCCTTGATCGAAGAACAATTGTTAAATATAGCGAGTTTTCTTTTTGTTGGTGTCCATCTTTGACGAGCGCTCACAATGTACTGAGTCAATCAATCGAGAAACTGTCAAAGACAAGCTTTTAGCGCGAATAAACACGTTTTCAGCGCCGTATATTATGACATGATGCGACACGTAACACCAGTACTATGGACAATAACGCCTTCTCTTAGAAAAAAACCGAACAAACTTTTTACTACACCAATATATAAATTCATATCAATTAACAAAACTTCAAAAACATGTACATATGCATATCAACATACACTTATACATACATACACGTATACATTATAAAATGTTAGTCTTGTTCAAGACTGCTGTAGAGGAAAAATATTAATTCATGTTGGCTCGTAAATTCACATGTAGCCAACGTGTCTGGATCACACACCTCCACTTTCCGTTCGAAACTGATGTCATTAATTGACACATTTATAAATTAATAGCATTCACACGCCTTTCTTTAACTTGCTCGCAAGAGCTCAGGGTTATTGTTGTCATTTGTCTTTTGCCCAGCCGCACCGTGCGCAAGGCAATATTAACTAATACAATGTACCGGCTGCTTGTAACAACAGAAACTAACCGTTTAACGGGTTTGTTGTGACAGCAAAGGTATTTATGTAAATATGTATGTAACCCATGCGACAGAGTATTGAAGGCTTGGTTCCACCTGAATTTAGTACGTCCTTGTCTGTCTGAATATTTTTTTGCTGCGAAGCTCTAACTGGATTAGTTGGTAGCTTGTTTTTGCTTGACGGTAATAATACATACATGCATGTGCGTATATGTACGTATTTATAAATATTTGTACGTATATAAACTTGGGAGCAAAAAATTATCAAACGACATCATTCAGACAAATTAATCCTCGAACGAAACAACAACGGCATAACTTTTTAATCCAATATATTATATAATACATAATACGGTAGTACATACACATACATTAGACATTAGGTGTTCAGTGAGGAAAATCCATATATAATGTTTGATATAATAATAAAATAAAGTTCAAACACGATACAAAAAACAAGGTAGCTTTTTTTGAAAATTATTAACAAGACACAAAAATATTTTTAGACTTTTGATATATTTTTAAGCTACCATCATTCATTATTAAAAACAATTTATTTTCACCTTTCTAAAATTAAAAAATATTCTACAAAAAATGTAAAACATTTCAATGTAAACAAAAAAAAAAATTTAAGAAAAGTAAAACATACTAACAGGCATATTCTCACTGTTACCGGTAAAGTAAATTTTGTTACTTTTTTTTTTAGCACCCGAAGTTGAATTTGGTATTCCCGTGAACTGGTTAGAATGTTTGAAAAAACTTTGGCAGCTTTCTTCGTCCTCGTCAAACTCAATTTGCCAGTTGGTTAAGTAAAAAGAAGAATATTCATATACATATATATTCCTATATGTATTTGCATTTCATTTGTTGTTGGAAATCAAAATTTCCCGACTTTTACTTTGACTATGAAAATTCAAATATAGTGTAATGATCGCGAAACAGAAGCTTGGATCGTTGCCGTTAGACAATTGCTCTCAACGAATTTCTGATACGGCGCGTTGAAAAAGAAATATATTTTTGAGGTAAACCTTAAATAAAACGGCAACGATGTTCTCTGTCTAAAAACAATTTTGATTTAAAAATTATATATGAAAATTAACAACTCCTCCCGTGTGCCAAGTCGTTCGAAAATAGTGAATGACTTTGTAAAATGGTAATGTTTTTTCGTAAATTTCTTAACAAGCGCCTCATTGCCCTTTTTTCTTCATCCTTAATTAATTCTAGACGTAAGATATCTACACATTTTGGTTTTTTAATTTTTTTTATAAATAAACAACAAAAAATGGAAAAGACGATTGTTTGTTTCCTCCTATTTTGCTGGTAACAAAACTAACAGGGTGACAGTGAACTCAGAATACGAAATGGTAACAAAATTTACTGAATAATAAATTTTAATACCAAAGTAAATTTTGTTACCTCGACAGAATAGGCCTGTAAATATTCAGAGTTTGCACTGTATTTTGTGAAATCTAATGGAAATAAAATTATTTACAGGCTGCTTAGCATTTTTTACAAAAAAAAAAAATTATGAAATATTTTTAAAGTGTCAATATCTTGAAAATAAAATGATAATAAGAAATTATATAATGGCGGAAAATCTGTTGGTTTCGATTTTATATTGACTGAAAGTATCTTCCTTTTTTGTATAATGGGCTGAACTAAATTATTATTATTTTTAATGACCGTAAAATAATTTTTTATACTGAAAAATTCTACGACACTATGAATATTCACTAGGCAATACTCGGTAGAAACTTAGTCCTCTGATTTCATACTGGAAACACAAGGATATCACATTAGCGGAGGAATATCCGTACACGCCCACCATAATGAGCTTCCTTTAAAACTGGGTTCTCCGGTTTTTAACCCTTTCAAATATAGTATATTGGCAACCCTGTTGAAAGTGTACCTGTACTAACAACTTACTATTAAAATGGGCACTAGGATAATGCATTTTATTGTGGAGGATACTAAATTTCAGACTCTAAGATTTATTGAGGGACTTTTAACCCAAAATCATAAATCGATTTTTTGTATGGCAGCTGCATAATACAGTCTCGCCGATTGCGACAAACAATTAATACTTTACAAAAATATACAAACAGATTAAGTTTCGTTCAAATGTCTCAAAAACTGATAGACAAGTCCCCCATTTAAGACGGCAAAACAAACGAATATTGCTAAATTATCTCAGCTCGTGATTCAGATTGTCCAAGATTAAAGGAAAGTAAAAGTAAGAAAGTAAAAATGCCGGTCGCTAGCTACAGAATGTCAAGGAAAATGTCAAGTGGTTTGGAATAAACTGTAGGATTCTCCATTCGGTTTGATAAATATCAACACGAAACACAGTTTGGGGAGGAAGCTCGGCGGAAAGTTGCTTTAGCGGTTACAAAGCGCCAATCAGACCATGGAGAGTCGATTCAGCGCCGTTCGCGGCAACTCGGACTGATGTATAGAACAACGTTGCGCATTTACGTGGAGATCTTAAATTGAAGGTCCACAAAATATGGCTTTGACAAGAACTGAAGCCTCTCGACTTTCCCAAGCGATATCGCTTCCCTCTATGAGCTCTTGAAAAGTTTATAGAAAATCCGACGTTTTTGAGTCAAATTTTATTCAGCGATGAGTCCCATTTATGGCCCAATGGGTATGTAAACAACCAAAATGCCACATTTGGGATGAAGAAAAACCTCAAGTGATTCAAGAGCTGCCATTTCATTCCGAAAAAAACAACGGTTTGGTATATTTTGTGAAGTAATCGGCCCAAATATCTTCAAAAATAATGTCGATGATAACGAAACCGTCAATGGCGACCATTATCATGCCATGATAAACGACTATTTGATGCATGTAATTGAAGTTTGTGATTTCGGCGACATTTAGTTTGAACAAGTTGGCGCCACTTTGTTTACACTTTGGTGTACAGTTAATTCCTCGTTTTGGGCCAGTCGATTGGCCACCAAGATTGTGTGATATCACACCATACGACTTTTTCCTGTAGGTATAAGTAAAGTCTAAAGTCTGCGGGCAACCGTGCTTCGATTCAGGCCTTGGAGCAAAATATCACGCATGTAAATCGCCAGCTACCAGTCGGAATGTTCCAACGAATCATCGAAAATTGGACTCCACAGACGGACCATCTGAGACGTAGGCAAAGTGATGGTTTTCAAAAAATAAAAACAAAAGAATGTTCTTTCGAATGATAATAAACATTTCCCATTAAATTTGATTTTTTTGTGTTTTTAGGTTGAAAAGAAGTGAAACCAATTTAGTATAAATGATTTTTTTTTATTAACTATTTATTTATATAGAATATATAACTAATTGTTTAACTGTAACATGAACAATATTGTACAATGAAGTAGACATAATTTGGTCTAACTTTTATCAAATGGGTTTTCTTGCGCTTACGTCTTCTACGAGAAATGCATAGCTTCCCTTAATGAGAAATTTAAAACTTGAGGATGGGCAAGTAAGCGTTGCTTGGAGCCTCTGGTTGGCTGGCAGGTGGGATGTATGTATTCGATGGAGCTGCTGGTGGAATGTACGTGTTCGATTGGGCAACAGGGGCTGCGGGGGCGGCAGGCGCGGGAAGGGAAGCAGGGGCAGCGGGTGGAATATAGGCGTTGGATGGTGCAGCAGGCGCAGCAGGAGATTGGGAAGCGAAATTCAAGACTGGTGCTAAGCCACCGTCGTGGGACACGGAGTCTCCGCCCAAATCGTTGTACTGCTGTTGGATAGCATGTTGTGCGTGGGCGGCATCTTCGGGCGTACGGTATTTTACAAAGTGCACTTCGGGTTTGTTGGTGTTCTGTACATTGAGGTTTTGCAATTTTTGCGCCAAATCCGATACGTCGCTCTGTTTCTGCAAAACATAAATAGCGGTTTTCTGTTCACCAGCATGTTTGGCCAACTGCAGGGCAGCATCGGAAAGGCCATTGTTTTCGGGTCCCTTAATGAAAACAACGCGCAGGTTTTTCTTCAAACCTGAAGATAAGTCGCCAAGTGGTTTGTCATCATCGAATTCAGCATCGGGTGCCTGGTAAGTGAAGAACTCCTTTTGAAACTCTGGTCCAGCAGGCGCGGCGGCTGCCACAGGCGCACTGAGTGGAGAGCCGAAGTCGCCAACACCGCCATTACTGGCAGGTCCACCGAGATTACCAGCGTTGCCACCGCCAATGGGCGCGCTTAAGTGAGCGGCGCCATTACTACCACCGTGTCCACCCAATGGAAATGAGCCCACAGCAGCACCATAGTTGTAACCACCAACATCGGCACGTGCTGCAGCAATCAAAGCTAATACCTGAGGATTTAAAAAGTTTCGTTTAAATTTATTTTTCCCAGCTAAGTATTTAAGAAAATGATTTTACTCACAATAAAAGCGCGCATTTTGTTATTTGACCGTCGAAAGTGTATGCTGCTGAGCTTGAGAGGAGTGAATTGTTTCTGATAACCAATATCGATCTCTTCGTTATATTTATATAAAAAACTTAAATTTAGCTATTTAGTCCACCTGCCAAAGTTTTTATCACCATGCAATCACTGCCATTAAAATCGCACAATTTTCAAGTTCACATTTCGCAATCGGGACGATGATTTTTGCATATTCACTTAAGTTAAGTTAAGGCGAATGCTCTGCGCTCAAACCAAGTCACGCGTTCATTATGGACTCATTTAAATTCGTAACACATTCGCTAAAAACTGTGCAAATTAGTAAGACGATTAATAATTAATGCTTATTGGCTTTGTTTTTGTTTTTGGTATCACAAAACGAACAGCTACACAAGGCAATTAAAATCGGTTCACCAAGTCGCACAGCTGTGCAATATGAATTAATCAAACCGAAAGACATCGTGTGACGATAAGAAATCAACAGATGTTTTAACATTTCCACTTGTAGATAGATAAATATTTCTTCGAATATTTCAAACAGTCATTGGATTCCGATCAAAATATAATTCGTTTTAATTAAAATGTATCTTAGTGCTATATATATTCATACAAACATACTCATCTGTCGTCGAAGGCTAGATAAGATATAAAAGCTTGAACCGGCTGTGATAAAGCACTTGCTGAAATGTTCAAAAGACTAAGGTAATTGAAACATTGATTCGTTGATCCAATTTAGTCCAGCAAAGATTTTTATGAATCCATCACCATAATTTTAGTTGCGCTGCTGCGCTTGCCAGCCTCTTGCGATACAGCTGTGAGGCTTCTATCTTCGCCTTATCGTGTGTATGTCTTATATAAACAACGCAATTTCCTATTTTCGCTTAGGCTAGCTCAGCGAGACAGTTGAAGAAGTGTTTCCCGAGGAGTTTGTGTCGCGGCACTATTAAGGCAGGACAGTGTCAGAGGTAGTGTTCAATGCACTCCACCTCTTCTTCGTCCCTGCAGATGCGGTAAAACTCATTAAAGTGGTTGCCCAATCTTTTCCCGTGAAGCGCCATTAAGCATAGGTCTGTTATTATGCCTATCGTTATGTTAATAGAGAACCGGTCTCGGTTTTTTCGCGTCCAATTTTTGCCATAGGTGTCGATCACTTTGCGCGTGATCTCTTTCAGCCATCTTGAACCTGTTTTTTTGGTAAAAGAAAGTTTAAGCATGTAATTTGCCGTGGCCGAAGCTCAACCTTTATCGTGTACATGCTTAACGGTGGGTACAAGAGTTCTTTCTCCCACTAGTTCATCTGTCATGCAATTGCCTGGGATGTCACTATATCCGGTGTCCAGCCCACGGCAGAGTTGCATTTAGTTGAGCTCTACATTTTCTAGCCACCTTTTATGTGGTACTGTTTCATTGTAGAAATCGGATGGCAGCTATATAATAGATTTAAACAGCCACTCGGCGGCTTCCATGATTAAAAAGAGTTCTGCTTGGAAGGCACTGCAGTGGTCTGGTAGTCTCTTGCTCTTGTTTATTGAGAGTAACGGGGAATAGATTCCGCAGCCCACTTTTCCATCGTGCTCTGAGCGGACTGTAAAGATGGTGGGGTTTTACCACTCATTTCAGTTTCGAATTCTCGTGCATGTGCTTCGAATGCTGCTGGTATTGTAGTCCAGTTCCTTCAGCACCTATGTAAGAGATGATATTTTGGTGTGGTCTATATAGCATTTCTTACGAGGTAGAGCTGCATTCAATCTGATTGCATTACAGCTCGAAAGATGTAGCAGTGCTTTTGAAGAAGTTGACGGCAGTGCTGCTGCCACCAAGGTAACAGCCGACCGTTGAACTTTCTCGAATTTGCCCCTGAAAGTAAAACGCGGTAGGGTCACGATATTCGCTCTCAGATCCCATATTTTTCATATCGCTCTTTTTCAACCGTCAAGTGCAGTTATAGTTTCCTTGACCGTTTTGCCGTATTATATGACTTCGTTAGAGAGGGTGATCTCCACGCCCTTAAATTTAGGTGGCTTAAAACAGTCGGTTTGTACCTCCTGTCAAGTGGAAATATTTCCCAAATTCTTAGGAGAGGCTCAATAATATTCACTTTGGGATGTTTGAGATCAATTTATTGAAAGTCTTCTACTACGAATTCCGGTGTGGGTGTCGTATCGAGGGAGATATTAAGCGTATACTCCTTAGGTAGGGCTGTATCGACAGACTTGCTGTTACTTCCTCGAGAGCCTGTCTGGGCGTAGATTTAGGCGTTTATAGCTGTCAAGCTGCCATTCAAAGATTTTTGAGAGAAAAGAGGTAAGACTGACATGGTTGACTCGTCCTTCTTTTGGGAAAAATATTTCTCTGCTCCTAACCCAAGGTCGGGAATAATCCATCGCGCATGAAAAAAAAATTGCAATCCTATTATATAGGCAAGTTGAAATCGCTTATTTGTTATTAACAGTTAGAATTCTTTGTTTATATATATATATATATATATATCTGATAACAAATCGATAAATATTGGGCCATCAAGACGATAATTTTGTAAAATAACTTTTTTGTTTCGTAGAATTTCTAATTTTTTAATACCTTACTCGGGCGAGGTGCGCCCTACAACCTATTTTACACTTACACTAAATTTGAAACCAAAGAAGCAGATAAATCAGGTGCAATTATTTCCGAGAACTTTAAATGGAAAGCGTTCAACAACAGACCATTAGAACTTTAAGCTTCCCGCCTTCTCTATATTTTTGAATGGTTTGAGCTTTCCAACCTAGGCATTGCAGCAGTACTGCTATCCACACGACTGTAGCCGTAGCTTTTTACTAAGAGAAAAAATGTCTCTTCTAAATATCTAGAGTTTTTCGTCAAATGTTCTACTAGTATTTTTTTCTTTCTAATTGCTTGCATTGCTCTAGTTTAACTTGCAAAGCTTTTCAGTGCCATATTAAAGCCATGATATCCCTAAATATGGAAAAAGCCTCAGATAATATCCCTTGCCGTAAGAATCGACTAAACTCCAAAAAACTACTATGGGGAATATTTCTGCGGCAACAGCAATAACAATATGACAGCTAAGCCAAGTAAAGACGCAACCCTGCTGTCAACATATAGACCAATCAGCCTGTTGCGTTGCCTGCCCAGACTTTTCGAAAAAGTACTGCTATCAAAAAATTCTCCCTTCCTTCATTATAATGATATAATTCCTACACACCAATTTGGTTTTCGCAAGAAATATGTAAACATTAAATGAGTTAAGAGTATGACAAATAAAATAAGGAATCCTTTCGAATTCAGTGAGTATTGCTCGGCCGTTTTTCTTGATGTGGCGCTAGCATTTCACAAGGTGTGACGTGATGGTCTCATTCATTAAATAAATAAAACAATTATTACCCAACAAGTTCAACAATATCCTTGAAACCTACTTATCAAACAGGCGATTCACTCTAAAGTATATTAATACATAACCGAGGAGTATCCAATCACTGACGGTGTCTCGAAGCGTAGCATTCTTGGACCAGTATTGTATATACTGTCAACCATAGGTGTTTCTACAAATGATACAGTAATAACGTAGTCAACGTTTATGAATGATACTGCTACAATTAGTCAGCACAGAGACACAAAAGGGTTAAACTGAGCGAAGAATGGCTAGGAAAGTGGCACAGAAAAAGATGCAGCTTTATGGCATCTAGCTTGCGTAGAATAATTACAGCCATGTAATGAAACATCCGTAGAGATCTCAGTATACCCACCATTAAAGCAGAGATTTAAATCGTTATACAAAAAATTGTTTGCAAACAAATCCGAGCCCTTCGGCTCTCACCTTAGCCTACTTACAAAGTCAAAAGCGCCTATAAAAAGCAACACTGAGCCCGCAACATTAGTTTTTAAGATTTGATAGCTTATTTTGAGGCTTCTGATACAGAGGCAGATTCAGTAAATAACTACAAATGTCTAAAGTTTAAACTAAACTATCGATCATCGATAGTTCTTAAATCGAATTTAATCGAAAGGCCTGACCTGTTGGTATTCCTTTAAGCAATTCCTCAATGCTCCAAAGTACAAGATATCGATAGACGTGTTTAATGCTTAATGAAACTCAGTTGTTTTCCAATTTAATCGGCTTCGAGCGAGAAATTATCCCCTACCATATGGAGCATTGGGTCACACTATGATAAATACCTGCCGACAACGAAAGATACTTCCTATGAAATTATATTGACAGCCTAAAATCAAAATTGGTGAACTATGCAAATGCTTAATAAAAATGATTGCACTTTAAAATCGCTTCATTTCGTACCCATTAATTAGCTTTAGATAATTAACATTTTGTATATTTGTACACTATTTCTGTATGTATGTATATATGTATTGTGTGTAGTATACGAGATTTATTTTAATTAAATTTGCTAGTCAGCATTTTTGTCAATTAATTTAGAACATGCAAATATTTAACTTCGCGCAAAAACTAATTCTCTGCGTCTGTTTTTTCGCCATAATATCATTTATCACTTTTGTGGCCATTAAATGCTCATTTATTTACGAATTTTCTTTTTATTCTTTACGCATTTCCTCCATTCAGTTAAAAAATCAATTAAATGTATTAAATTGGATTTAAACTCATTACTATCAATATTTGCGAGTTTGGCAGGTGAATTATAAAACGAGTAAGAAAGATAAATTTCGGTTGACTCCATCAACTATTACATATTTTTTAAATTTCTCACGTTAGGTCGGCTTGCAAAAGTCGAAGAGCACACAAAAAATGGACAAATTTTTCCAGTTGCCAACAAAAAAATATTATTCCAAATAGGTTATTTGACAAACGAAAATTAAAAATTTAAATTTCAAAATTCAAAATTCAAAATTCAAAATTCAAAATTCAAAATTCAAAATTCAAAATTCAAAATTCAAAATTCAAAATTCAAAATTCAAAATTCAAAATTCAAAATTCAAAATTCAAAATTCAAAATTCAAAATTCAAAATTCAAAATTCAAAATTCAAAATACAAAATTCAAAATTCAAAATTCAAATTTTAAAATT